CTCCCTGGGCGCGGTCCGTCGACCCCCGGCGCGCCGTCTCTCGTTCCCCAGGGCGCCCTCCTCCTCCTCCTCCTCCTCCTCCTCCTCCTCCTCCTCCTCCTCCTCCTCCTCCTCCTCCTCCTCAGGAGCGCGCCGAGGCGGCCCCGAGGCGCTGCCGAACGGCCCCCGACGCCGAAATCTCACTCCAGAACGCCCACAAGACGGTCTCCAGACGGCCCTCGAGGCCGCCAAGAAGCCCCAAGAGAGCCTCCCGAGGCCCCCCAGGAGAACCTCCAAAACCAGACATCTCTCCATCCCCTTCAGGAAACGCACGCTTTCTGCGCGCGCGACCTCCGGAGGTTCGCAGCGCCCGAGACTGCCCGAGAAGCCCCCGCGACCGCCCCAGAACAGCCCGGCAGCCCTCCACAAGGGGCCCAGCCCAGGACGGCGCCAAAGGGCCCCGAGATGGCGCGGGAACGCCCAGAGACGCCCCCGGAAGCGCCGAAGACGGCCCGAGACGGCGTCGAGAGAGGGCGCTCGAAATAATCACGCGTCGAACTCTCCGCCCCGAGCGGCCCTTCCAAACCACCAGCCAGGCCCCGAGAAACCGCTGAGAGGCTTTGGGAAGCCTCCAACTGCCCCGAACAAGGCCCCCAGAGCGCCCGGGCGGCCCCCAGAGGCGGCGCCCCATCATGGGCCGGTGGAGTGAGCGAAGCGATTGAATGGAGAAAAAGTCAAAGCAGAAAAGCCCAGATCCCTGACCGCATGCCTTCGGTCGGAGCACAAAGCTCGACGTCGCCAGGGCTGCGCCACTGCCAGGGCCCTCGCGGCCCCCAGCCGCAGCGCAGCAAAGGGCAGACCGCGGCGGAGCAGATGCCCCCCGCGCGGCGGCAGCGGGTGGACGGCTTCCTGCCCTCGAGGTCCGCCGCCACGCTCTCCCACCCGCGATTCATAAGCCCCCTGTTGAAATCGGGGGGAGCCAGAAGCAATGACCACGCATTGGCGCCGTCCACGGCAGCGGCGATGGCTAGGCCCTCGTGCCCCATGTCCACCTGCAACTGCGTGGTCGAAGATCTCCGCGTGGATGCGCGCTTCAAGAACGCTCCTAGAGCACGCATCCAATGCTGAAGCACTGAAGGTGGTGCACCGTGCACCATGACTTCGCAGGAAACACATGGCACACTCGCATTAGTCGTCAAACGCAACGCGATTCTTTTGCGCGCCAACTACGTCTGGAAACGTTAGCACTCTTGCTGAAACTGGGGTGCGCCGTTCCAACTCTCTCCTCGTGCCACAGTTTACCTCCTCGCGCGCGTCCTCCGTCGATGCCCGGGCCCACTGCTATGCTGTTGAGCGGCGCCCTGAGGCCCGCGGCTTTCAACTTGGAGTTGAGAGAGGATCGAATCGCCTCGTTTGAACTCAAGATCACGGACTTGGGAGGAAAGGACAGGTCCAACTTCTTTAGCGACGTCGCCAAAATCTTCGAGACGCCCAATCCCCTGAGGACGCGGGGCGCGGAACATTGCTGCACAGTGAGCGCGAGCGCGCGCAGGGGGGGGACCCCCCAGTCATTCCGCGATGGCCACGAGGCAAATCAGGTTCAAATCAGAAAACTCTGAGATCCCAGACTACGTCCACGCGAATTCCAGAATTGATCGGGAATGCTCGAACTGCTTCGTCTCGAGCACCGCCCTCAAAGAAGCTGGTCCTGCTATAACTCCATCCCAATGGCCTGCTGCCTTATCGCACCATCCTCGGTCAAGCGGGCTCCGAACCGCACCCGAGCACTCGAAAAAACAGCGCAACGATGCCAACGGCTTGGTCCTCATCCGTGGATGTCGGCAGTAAGGTGATGAAGACCGCGAGCAGATGCCAAGGCCACGCGAGTCGCCGCTCAACTTCGTGAAATAAGGGGTAGGAGCTTGCAGGCCATCGTCTGGAAGCCTGCGAAGGTCGTTGATGCCCAAGGCCTCGCGACCTCTCGCTTTCTCAGGCGATATGCGCATGAGGGTCTTCCTAAGAGCTTCCAGCGTGATTGGTTCAAGATCGACCACCGCCGCCTTCCGTTGCGCGCGATGAAAAGTTTCGACCACCTCGTTAGGAGAGAACCTTGAAGGCGACCACTGCTGCCACCAATCTCTTTCTCAGCGATGACCCTTCAAGGGTTGATAATCGCCTGCTGCGCCACAATGATCGCATTAATCGAGATGGTAGGACACCTGGTGGAAACATAACACCTGCCATGCGAGGTAGACGACATTGTGAGTACCCATGAATCAAAACCTCGCAGTGCTGCCACTGCTGAGAATCATTGAGCTCGAACTGCTAGACTCTGCAGTATGCAAGAACTTGTGTTTCCCAAGTCGCATCCCTGGACCTGGTGTACCATGCCACCCCATTTGCGTCTGGACGCGGAAGACATGGGTAACGCATTATAAATAGGCCTGCTGGCTACCATCGCGCTGATTATACAAACATGTTAAAGCTCTCGAGTATAATATCCATGTGCTCTGCTTAATTATTGAAAAAGCGAGGTAAGCAACGTCCACCATTTAGCTGCAGGATCGGTCTGAATCTGGAGCCCCTTTGCACTCCTGATGGGCGCAAAAACAAAGGAGGAGAAGGAGGGAGGAGGAGGCGGAGGAGGAGGAGGAGACGGAGGAGGACCACGTCTGCCAAGTTTGGCCCTCGGTCTTCGGGTGGTCGAAGGGAGATCTTCTCGCACATCTTCGGACCCCCCCGAGCCTCCAGGCATCCGCAAGGGCGCCCCACTTTGCGCTCCGCGTTGCGCGAAGCGCGAGGCGAACATAACATAGCGCTCTCGCGCCGCCCCCCCATCGGTTGAGCAGGGGCCGACCGTCCCGGCATTCCTATAGTCCTAACTACCACGGAATGTTCTTAGAACCCAAAAATATTCTAAGAACAAAAACAATGCTCTTAGAACACAAACCCGATGTGATAAAACAAGACAGCCTCCATCAGAAATGCTCCAAGGACATGTCGTGGAAACCACCAAAGGTTCTCAGAACATTGTTTCGTAGGGCTATAGGCGAGCCAGGACGTCTCGCCACTGCTTGAGAGGGGGAGGAGGAGGAGGAGGAGGAGGAGGAGGAGGAGGAGGAGGAGGAGGAGGAGGAGGAGGAGGAGGAGGAGGAGGAGGAGGAGGAGGAGGAGGAGAAGGAGGAGGAGGAGGAGGAGGAGGAGGAGGAGAAAGAGGAGAAGGAGGAGGAGAAAGAGGACGTCTCGCCACTGCTTGAAAAGCGCGAGGCGCGAATAACTTCGCCACTCGCACCCCCGAAGGGCGCCCTCGGTCCTGCACCCGCCCGTGCTCTCCTCCCGCCTCGCGGCCGCGGGAGCCTGCGGATCCCGCGGCCGCTGCCCCGACGGCTGCGGCGGGTCCAGCTGGATCTCGGGCCAGACCTGGGGCGCAGGGAGGGCTTGGAGTAGGGGGAAAACAAACCTACCTCGCTTTTGACCACCCTCGCTTCCAAGAGATACCAAACGATGCCAAATTGCAGCCTGTACTGGCCAGGCCGCTTGACGAGGAGGCGCGTGGTATGACTTGGTTTTGCCTGGAAGCGAAAGCGGGGGAGGTAATTCACGCTCTGATGGAGGGCAACTCGTGGGAGCCACCCGTGCCACCTCTAGGGGAACAAAAGGTGACACAACCGCGCGAATTCCTCGGATCCGCGCCGGACGCCCCTCCTTGGCGCGCTGAGCGCGCCACGAGCGGCGCCGGAGGCGCCGCCGGAGGGCCCCGGCGCCGATCCGAGAAATCCGCGCGGACCTCCGAGTTTTTATGTTTATGTCATTGTTCGTTCTCCTAGTTTGGTGGCAACTCGTGGGAGCCGCCCATGCCACCCTGCCTGCCCTTGCGGAACGGCGCTGACCGACGCCAGTCGACGCGGAAGCGACGCTGACGGACACCAGCTCGACGCGAACCGGCGCTGAAGATTCACGTCCTCATCGATGACCGAACGCTATGCTTGTGCACTCGAAAGACAAAGTTACGAGGACATGCAAGTTACCGAAGGAGGGGAGGGAGATGGATGAAGGGGCCCTGGGACACACAAATAAATAGACACAAACAAAATGATGCCCCATATTTTCCTATATTTTCTGGGTTTTTGTCTTCCCCCCCAATTCCCGTATTTTCCCATATTTTCTGGGGAATGGAGGATTCATTGTGTCTGTGTGTTTCTTCCCCTCCTGAGAGATGGAGGCAAATCGTGCTGGGTGCGCTCGCGCCACGTCTGTCGTCCTGCCCATCCCTTCCCGGTGTGCTGAACCGTCCTCTGTCCGCCGACTGGGGGTTATACAGAAGCCAATGCTTCTAGTATTCGCGGTAACTAGGGTCGGGGAGACGTAAGACCCGGTTACGGGGGACTCGGAAATCCCCGACGAGGCCGTCAAAAAAATGACGAGGCCGAGCCTGCATTTTGACGAGGCCTCCCGCTGCAGACATCCCACGAAACTCCTCCTCGTCAAAATCCGAGGCGCGGTCGTCAAAAAACGATGGCGAACCCGAGTCCCGGCAAACCCGGGTCTTACGCTCCCCCGATAGGGGGAAAACAAACCTACCTCGCTTTTGACCACCCTCGCTTCCAAGAGATACCAAACGATGCCAGATTGCAGCCTGTACTGGCCAGGCCGCTCGACGAGGAGGCGCGTGGTATGGCCTGGTTTTGCCTGGAAGCGAAAGCGGGGTAGGTAATTCACGCTCTGAGTAACGCCCGTGACTGGCCCCTTGCCCCCACTCCCTCCCTCCCCCATCCCTGATCACGTCACGATTCGCGCCAGCGTCGTCTGGGAACTGGCCGTTCGAAAGCATTCCCAGACGGCGCCAGCGCGAATCGTGACGTGACGGGGCCCCTCCCCCCCCGGTCAGGCCCGCTATCGCCAGGGGATAAAAAAACGTTCTCTAGCCTGGATCTCCAAGTGGCGGTTGCAGGACTTGGCCCATCGTTTGCTACTCAATCGGAAAGGGGGCTTTGTACATTGAACGAGGAGGAGGCGGATGGGCAGAAGGATGGGGAGGAGGAAGGAGAAGCAGTAGGAGAAAGAGGACAACGGGAATGCGGAGGGGAAATGAGCGGGACGACAACGACGACGAAGGCATGTGATCCAGAAATATGGCCAACGCTGGGGCGAGACCACCAGTCTGGACGACGCGAGCAAAGCATCGATCCTGAACGAACATTGCCGCCAGTAGATCCTACCTGCCCCTGCCTGGCTCCGATGGCCCTGGCTCTCACCGACTTCGCTCACCTCTAGCTAACGCTGGTTGCCGCCACTCCTCGCCTGGCCCTTGCCTAGCCCCACTTCTCCTGACTGCCGCCAACGCCGGTCGTCGCCACCAGCGCCTGCCGGCACTGGCCCCGGCCCGTGCCCCGCCAGACCAGGCCGCCAAAAATTGCTTGCGGCCCGCGTCCGAACACCGGGATCCTTTTCTTGAGCAGGGACCGACCGTCCTGGCACTTCTGTAGGCCTACCACGACATGTTCTTAGAACCCGAAAAATGTTTGTTCTTAGAACATGAACCCGATGTGGTAAAACAAGACGGTCCCAGCCAGGAATGCTCTAAGAACATCTCGTGGGAACCACAAAAGGTTCCAAGAACATTGTTTGGTAGGGCTACAGGCGAGTCAGGACGCTTCGCCACTGCTTGAGAGGGGGAGGAGGAAGAGGAGGAGGAGGAGGAGGAGGAGGAGAAGAAGAAGAAGGAGGAGGAGGAGGAGAAGGAGAAGGAGGAGGAGGGAGGATGAGAAAAAGAAAAAGGAGGAGAAGGAGGAGGAGGAGGAGGACGAGGAGGGAGGAGGAGGGAGGAGGAGGAGGGAAGAAGAGGAGGAGGAGGAAGGAGGAGGAGGAGGAGGAGGCCCCTCCCGTGCGCGGGCTGCGTGTGCCGAGCGGCTCACCACGCCATGCCCCCCTTGATGCGGTCCTCGGACGGGCACATCTCCAGGCACCTGTCTCCGACGTTGCCGGTCGTGCCGGGGAGCATGCCCCTCTCCATGCGGTCTGCCAGCACCTCGATGCCCTGGACCACCCTCTGGTTGAAGGAGCCATACTCTCCGGAGAGGGTGTCGAGCGCCGCCCTCTGGTTGGCCTCCGAGTCCTTGGACTTGCCGGCTGTGAGCGCCTGGCTCTTGAGCGTCATCTTCTTCGCGCCCTTGCACTGGGCCTCCTCGCCCGGCGGACGGATGACGAAGGAGTGGCCGCACTGCATGCCCTTGACCGCCGCGGACCCAGGCACCAGCCCCGCCAGGAGCGCGTGGTCGAAGCCCTGCTTGAGGTCCAGGTCCTCCGCGTTCACGCTCAGCGGCAGCGCCGCCATCAGGCGCTGGCGGTTGAAGAGCATGTTCCCGAGGCCGGCCTCTGGCTTGGCCTTGGTCGCGTTGGCGACGCACTTCGTGAAGCTGCTGTTGCTCCAGTGCTCCTTCTTCGCCCACGCAGGCCTGTGGTGGGCCTGCGTGTAGTCGCAGTAGGTCGGAGCCTGAAGGGCGATCACCTCCTCGTCCTCGTCGAAGAGGTCGCTGGACAGCTCGATCAGGCCCTTCTTGGACTGCCTGTGCACGAAGGACTCCCCCTCCATGTTGATGCAGATCTCCACGCCGTACTCAGCCTGGCTGCAGAGGTCGATGAACAGCATCATCGCGTTGAAATGTGCCATCTGGCGCTTCATGTCGGGAGACGTGAGGTTCTGCTTGAAGAACTTCTTCGCGAAGGAAGCGGTGCTGCCCTGGCGGAGGGAGAAAACCTTCTGCATCAACTCCTGCTGCCGGGTCTCGTTAGCCTCGAGCTCAACAACCTTCACAGAGCCCGTAGTGCCATAACTACGACGCATTTGCCCGATGACAGGGTCATGGGCCGTGCCCAACGCATTATCGACCGTGGGCACCTTGGCGTTGATGACCGCCACCTGTCCCACGTTCTTGTGCGAGGAGGTGAGCATGCGGATCTGGTGGCTCAACATCAAGTCCACTGGTGCTGCCTGCGTGTGTTTAAGCACCGTGGCCACCAGCGACTTCTTGGCGGCCACCCTGTCCACGCGACGGTGAGACTCGGACGCCGCCTCTGTCGCTACGGTGAGGCTGGCAACGAGCGGGAGCGCGGAAGCCGCAAGAAGCACGCGGAAGCTGGCAGCCATCTGGAAGCGACACCGAAATGCGCGCGGAAAGTAACAAGACGAGAAATACGCAGCGTGCGGAAGCCCTGAGCAGAGCTACAGGCAAAAAGAGCTACAGCCTTCGACTCCTCCTCATCATTGAAGGGGCCCCAGGACACACAAATAAATACACACAAATAAAAATATCCCCCATATTTTACCATATTTTCTGGGTTTTTGTCTTCCCCACCACTTCCCATATGTTTGCATATTTTCCTTGGAGTCGACGATTAATTGTGTCTGTGTGCTTCTTTCCCTCCTGATCATCATCATGATGACCCGCCCCTGCTCCCACCGCTCCCCCAGCCCGGCTTCCCAGTCCTGCCACCTCCCTTCTCGCGGAGTGCCCTCGATCCCGTCGGCGTCGCCCAAAGAGCAGCCAAACGCGGGACGCCTCATTCTTAAAGGGAAATTAGGACACACAAATGAATGCACACAAATAAAAATAGTCCCCATATTTCCCCATATTTTCTGGGTTTTTGTCTTCCCCCCCAATTCCCATATTTTCCCATATTTTCCTGGGAATCGAGGATTAATTGTGTCTGTGTGGTTTTTTCCCTCCTGAATTCTACCAGCCAGAGGAGTACGCAACGTCAACGTCCCCCCCTCGCAGCACGGCACGTGGTCGACACGCCGCAAACAAGAGCGCGGCAGGGACAGGACGATCCGCACGCCGCGAGCGAAGGAGCGAGCTGTCGATCTCGCCCCGGCGTTATGCCCGAAAAAAGCGCTCCCACTTGGGCGCGGCGCATTCGATCTCGCTCGCCAGACCCGTCAGAAACGGGCCGCGCCCGAGCAGCATCGGCATGCTAATCTTGCCTGTCCGCCGCACAGATGATGTGGCGTGTTCTCGTTCCTCCGCGATTGCCGTCGGGAGGAGGGCAGCCCCCGAAGGAACTGATGTTTCTGTCCGCCACCTGGCGGCGCGCCTGGGGGGGAAGTGAGGAGGGGCGGGCCTTCTCAGAAGGCTCGGAAGTCCCCCAGCCTCCTGAGAGGTGTCCTGCGCTTTTCCCGAAGACGTGCAGGAAACTTCTCGGAAGGCGCGAGGGGCGTTCGGGGAGTCCCGCCGCCCTCCGAGAAGGCCTTCTCCTTCTCTGTAACGCACATGGACATACTAATACTAGATGTCCTCCTTGGAGGTGCGCGTCCGACCCGAACATATAGTATACCCATCTTGTAGTATATCGTTTCCCGAGCGGTGTGGCCAGAAAGCGCCCGCCACGACGCATGTACTATAAGATTTCTCGGTGCGGGCGTCGCCCCTGGGGGGGCGACGCACATATAGTATACACCCCACGAAATGCTTAAGAAATCATGGGTTCAGAAATTCATAGTCTCAGAACTTGACTAAAAACCCAAAAGTTCGATTAAAATCTTAGGATTTACGTTGAAACATTAAGAATAATCGAGACCCTGGCCGAAAAATTAAGTTTTCTTAAGCATCGCCTGAGGTGTAAGTATGTTGGGGTGTTGCCGAAATTCTCGCTTCTCCCCTTCGCTCGCCGCCGGGCCACGGCGCGGCGCGGCTCTCTCCAGAGCGGTGCGCGCGTCGCACGGGAGCGGCGCCTGCCCTCTCTCCTTCCGGCGGGCCCCCGGAGAGGGGCCGCGGGCGGGCGCGGCCAGCCCGCGGGCCGGGGGCAGAAGCCGCGCCTACTGCATTTTTTTATCATTATTATTATTTTTGTTTTATTTATTTTTGTTTGATAATATTTTTATTATTATTATTATTTATTATTATTAATATTATTATTATTATTTATTTATTTTTTTATTAATATTATTTTGTTTTACAGCCGCAGGCGGAAGCGCCAGCGGCGGAAGGTCGCGAACGGGCCGCGGGCGCGACTTAAATTACCTAACGCGCGCCTGCTGCGCACGCGCGCCAGCACGAGTCGTGATGCTGCCGGCGGGCGGGGGCGGGCTGGGCCCGCCGGCAGCGTCCTCTGCGCCTGCTCCCGCCCGCCCCCTCGCGTCCACAGGCTTTGTTCCTGCCACCGGTCCTTGTTAGTCCATGTTAGTCCATGCTCCTGCTCACTGGTCCTGCTCCTCCTCCTCCTCCTGCTCCTCCTCCTCCTCCTCCTCCTCCTCCTCCTCCTCCTCCTCCTCCTCCTCCTCCTCCTCCTCCTCCTCCTCCTCCTCCTCCCTCCTCCTCCTCCTCCTCCTCCTCCTGGGTCGTTTCCTGACGGTCCTCGGGCCCGTGGAGGGCCCCGAGAGAGCCCGAGAACGGCTGCTATGAACACCTCGGGGGCCCGCTTCCCGCCAGGACCCGCTGAGCAACGTCTGACTGCCGAACCTCCGACTCGTCAGCATCAGTATTATCAGAATCGGCATGCACCGATGCCGTTCCCTCGCCTTACAGCTCACCGTCGTCACTGCTTTGGAAGAAGGCTTGGGGCTCGGAGCACTTCAAAATGTGTCGCCGTCCCCGCCTGCCCTGCTCGTCGACAGCGTCGATTGCCAATACTAGTCCTTGCTAGCCCGTGGGTAGCCGCACTAGCCACACTGGGCCTGCTCGTTGAACAACGTTGGATGCCGCTGCTAGCCCTTGCCTAGCCGCAGTACCTCTTCTTGTAGCGACGCTACTGCTAGGAGGAGGAAATCACGAGGGCATGCGAGGACGAGAGGAGGACGGTCAATTAAATTGACACTGTCAGTTAGGCTGTGCTGGGAATGTGCGTTGAAGGGGCAGCGGGACTTAGAGTGAGAGTCGGGGTGGAATTGGGGGTGAGAGCGGGGGCGGGGTGAGAGCGTGATACCAGCAGCGGGAATGCGATTTGGAGCCAAGTTGCTGGAACACGTTACCACTTGGAGAAAGGAAGGCCATCGCGAGCGGCCCCGCTTCCGACGACAGGGCAAAGAAAAACACGGGCCGCGCATGGGTGGGGACGAAACTTCAGAAAGCCTTACGCGGCGCTGCGCCGAGAGCACCGTTTAGCCCTCCTGGGCGGCCACGTTCCCAATGAACACGGCGCAGACGAAGCATGCACCGCGCCGACACTGCACTGCCACATTCACTCACAAGCTGCACGGCGCTTGGGCGTAGACAGCATGTCGCCCACTCTCGCTCGGCCCCGCTGCCATCGCCGCTTTCATGAGATCCGGCGAGGGAAACACGCGCCCGTGCCCGCGCAGGAACGCGATTTCGAGGCGACACCTGCACGGAACTTGGCTCCTCCTCCTCCTCCTCCTCCTCCTCCTCCTCCTCCTCCTCCTCCTCCTCCTCCTCCTCCTCCTCCTCCTCCTCCTCCTCCTCCTCCCGTCCCGACAAGTTGGCCAAAGAAACATGCGATAGGCGCCAAAGCGAGACCGACAGTCTCGTCCGCTCGTCCTTCGACGAAGCGGCGAAGCACAGTGCGCGCCTCGCCCAAGCAGGAGATCAATTCTCAGGCGCGGCACCAGAGCGAGGGTGACAGTTCGCCCTTTCGCGCGGGATGTGCAACCCGTCCCATTCCTGCAACGCCTTTTTGCAACGTCGACGCCATGATATCAAGACTGAAAACACATAACGTCGACTTCACTCTGCTCTGAATCCGCCGACCCATTGGCGTGTGAAAGAAACTGTCGTCGTCTTCGTCGTCGATCTCGTGGCCAATCCCAACAAAACATTGAGAAACGAGCAGATAAAACAACCGGCCCCCTCGTGGGGCCACCAGGCTCCGCGGATCAGGCTTGCTGCTCCCTGCACCAGTTCAAGTGTCCAGTCCCCAATGTTCTCAAGGGCTCCCAACTTCGCGCTTCGCGCTGCGCGAAGCGCGAAGTGCGAATAACTTCGCGCTCTCGCGCCGCCTCCCAGGGAAGAAGAGGAGGATGAGGAGGAATCGGAGCCGAAGCGCGAAGCGCGAAACGCGAATAACGTCGCGCCCTCGAGGGCGCCGATTGGTTATCGCCCTGCTGTTCTTGCTTCCTACTATGAACTGTTGAAACCCGCGCGAGGGCGGAAGCCGAAAGGGGCCCGGGTTACCCCCGAAGGGGCTCTCAGAATTTACGGGGGGGGGGCCTGGAGGCCATGCTCCTTAAGAGTTTACACTAGATTCGCGGATCCCCTTCCCCGAGGCCATGAGCCCTCGCAAAGTACACGTTCTTCGCGCTCCAGAGATCCTAACTCCGAGCAGGGTATGCAAACGGAGCGTCCCCGATGCAATACTCTTGTAAATTACATAGTATATGCGTCCCCTAAGCCACGATCTCTCTAAGATTCACAATTCTTCGCGTTCCCGAAACCATAAACATTTGTAAAGTCAAAATTCGCGCTTTCGAGGCGGCGAGGCCAATCCTTTACAAGAGTCCGCCAATACGGTACAAGAGGCCTCCGAGACAGCCCAGAAGTGCTCCAAGGCGCCCAAGATGGTCCCAAGACGGCCCAGGAGGCTCCCAAAATGCCCCCAAGAGCGCTCCAAGAGCACTCCCAAGAGAGGCACAAGAGGCCTTAGGTTTTTGATGGATGTTGGCACGCTCGCCTTTTCGGGCTTCCGACGCTCCAAGACGGCTCGAGAGGCCCCCCAAGACCGCCACAAGACGGCCCAAGAGGCTCTCGAGTGTCCCAAGACTGTTCAAAACGCCCTCAAGCCGGCTCAAGAGACCCCCAGGACGGTCCAAGAGGGCCCCAAGAGTGACCCGAAACGGGGGGGCCGAACCAACATTTCGGGCCCAACATAACTCTCGCATACCCCATTATCCGAGGGAGGGGGCTGGCGGGAGGGGGCGAAGCCCTCACGGATAAACGCCGTAATTAAGTCGATCCCCTTCCCGTTTTCCTTTCCCTGACGGGGGGGGGGGCACGGTGCAGGGAGGTCCCGGGTCAGATTACCGCCCCAGTCCCCTCTGCGGGCAGGGGACACAAGAGGGGCTCTCCCTAGAAGAAGCGAATCCCTGACAGAAGGGTTCAATCCACGGCAGAGGGGGGCAATGCCCGAAAACTAATTTCAATATCATCAGCTTCGAAACTAGGAATTGCTGTTGTGCGCTTCCTGGGCGTGCCGAAAGGCTTCTTGGGCGTTCCTGCAGTATGTGTGTATCTTTCTTCGCACATATGTGTATATATATACATACATACATACATACATGCATGCATGCATGCATACATACATACATACATACATACATACATACATACATACATGCATACATA